GGTTCAATCACCAACACCACAAAAGAATGAGGAAAAGAAAAAGGGGAGAAGACAAAGGAGGAGGAGGAAATCAAGGAAGCATTCACAAGGATGCTTCCCCACCTAGTTGATTGCAATTCCAGTGGAAACTGGAAACCTCCAAAATGGGATTGTTGCAATCCAGAAAGATTATGGGAGTTGGGTATCTCAGGGATAGAGCGCTTGCCTAGCATGGCTGCTGGGTTCAATCCTCAGTACTGCAAAAGAAACGTACAAATGGGCCAGGGATTTAGCTCAGTGGTTTCACTGCCTGCTGCGCAAGTGCAAGGACCCAAGTTCAATCCCTGGTACCAAAAAAAACAATTTTAGGGCTGGTGATTTAGCTCAGCAGCACTGTGCCTGCCTAGCCAGCACAAGGTCCTGAGTTCAATCCCTGGTACCAAAAAAAAAAAGAAACGTACAAATGAAAGCCAAGTTGAACTCCATGCTGGACTCTTGAAATAGTTATTACTAGTTACACTCACTCACACATAAACACAGATGGTCCCAGTACAGTGTGCAGTAAATTACACAAAATACCCAATACTTTTATATAAAATAGGCCTAGTGTGGGATGATTTTACCCCACTGTAAACCGATGTCAGTGAACTAAGCATGTTTGAGGTAGGCTGAGCTGCGGTGTGATAAATGCATTTTCCACTTAGGATATTTTCAACTTCTGAAGGATTCAGCCTGACATAACCCCACCATAAGTCAAGGAAAATCTATTCATTTGCAAAAAGTTTTGTTGTTGTTTCCCAAAGCCATCTCCGTGGATACCACTTAGAGTCCAGCATCAAGCCAGCCAAGAAACTGGAATCGAAACTGCAACCTTGAAGAGTTTCCAATCTTTGTGCAGTGTGTGTGTGTGTGTGTGTGTGTGTGTGTGTTTAGTACTAGGAATTGAATCCAGGGCCTTCACACTAACTATATCTTCAGCCTCTTTTTATTTTCTATTTTGAGACAAGGTTTTTGCTAAGTCAATAAGTTGCCCAGGCTGGACTTGAACTTGTAATCCTCCTGCCTCAGCCATTAGTGTGCTGAGATTACAGGCACATGTCACCATGCCCATCTCCAATCATTTTTTTAAAATTATCAAATACCATAACATGCTCATCATGGTACTGGAGCCACAGACATAAATGAATCCCTGTTGTAGGCAGACCAGGCTGGGGAGACGGATCTGATCTCCTTCCATTTCATCTCCTCATCTGTCCACGTCTTCCTCTGCTGCTGCCTACAGGCCTCTTGCTGCAAGCTTTGTCCACCTTCCAGCTTTCCCTGAGCTGTTCCTACACCCATAATCCCCCTCCATCTCACTCCCTTTCTCTCAGCCCATGAAAACCCTACATGTCCTTTGTCCCCTCTGCCAGGTATGATTAGAAAGTGAACTCTGAAACCTATGGTATCTTTCCCATGACACGTACTTTTCACCCACTAGCGGAGTCCAGCCATCTGACCATCTTTGCATCCTCAGCTGGTCAGTGGCTGATTTGCTCCACATCCAGGGAGGACAGGGACAAGCTCAGACTACTGCTGTCCCCCTGCTGCTGGTGGGGAATGGCCCATCCCCACCGGGCAAGCTGGAGAGGAGGGACGGGCATGCAGTGCTGAACCAGAGCTGTAGAATCCAATACTGCTTTTTCTGTAGGCTGCCTGAGCCCCAGACATGCACCAGACTCTAACATGCTCCCAGCCAGAGCTCAAGATGAACCAAAGGGCTGCTGGGTAGAAGGAAGGGCCAAGGATGGGAAAACAGGGATGCTGAGGCTGGGGGAGTCAGACCAACCTTCATGACACCCACCACTGAGCCTCTTCCTGGTGCCTCAGGTCACAAGCCAGGGGACACCAAAGTGGGATTCCTGGGAAGTCAGTAGGGGCACTGGCCTCTCTCCCAAGTCCCACCATTGTCCTAGGGGTCTAGGGGAAGCCATGAATCCTGGAAAGCACAAGCTGGGATCATCCCCCAAGTGTCAAAGATTAAGGACAAAGTGTCAGAAGCAGAGCCCAAGAATAGGTCAGGTCGTGAGGGAGGGAAGAGGGGCCAGGAATGTTAGACCACCATGCAATCATCTGAATTGTGGCTGCAGTTGTTGCTGGTGGCATCAGGTAGCAGGGGCTGAAGGGACCCATGAGAGTTGTCTCTGAAGTCATAGCAGGGGCCAAGGGATGTCAATATTCTTGATGGTAGATGAAAAGCTGATACCTGACTTTGAAACAAGTGGAAGCCAGTGAGGGTTGGTGTATCTGTCAGGAGATGTCTGGTTACGCTGCAGTAACAAACAGCCCTAAAGGCTCAGCAACTCACACATGCAGAGGTTAATTTTTGGCTCACCATTCCAATGTCTGGATTCTCCCCCAAGACACCTTCACTCTGGGACCCAGGCTGACAGAGCAGCACGTGCCTGGGACAGTCAGTCTCACAGCCTGGAAAATGACAGCACAGCCACCAGCTAGCTCCAACAGTTTCTTTCCAGAAATGACAGGCAGCCCTGGCACCTGCCCTTTGTTGACCAAAGCAATCATGTGGTTTCCCTGGAGTTTGGCAGGAGGGAGATATTAGACTATCATGGAGAGCAGCACCAGCCAGACATTAAGCCTGATGCCAGTGGGGCGGGGAGGTCTACTCCACCCTGGAGAGGGAAAGCAAATAATTCAAACACTAACACAGTCCATGGCAGCTGGGAGCCTGGCAGTGGTTATTGGTTATGCTAATCAAGATTCCACCAGGAGGGACAGGGATTTAGCTCAGTGGTTTCGCCACCTGCTGCGCAAGTGCAAGGACCCAAGTTCGATCCCCGGTACCAAAATAAATAAATAAATAAAAAGATTCCACCAGGGCCAGATGTAGTGGTGCATCTCTGTAATCCTAGCACTCCAGAGCTGAGGCAGAAGGATCGCTGCAAGTTTGAGGCCAGCCTGGGTTACATAGGGAGACCCTGTCTCAAGAAAGGGGGCAGGGGCAGCAATGTAGCTCAGCGGTGCAGTGCCTACCTGGCGAGAGCAAGGATCTGAGTTCAATTCTTGAACCCAAAAAATTCCACCAGGTACACTGGCAAACAGGATTGAATCCCTGGCAAGCCTTTGTCAGAGCTGCACACATGGAGAAGCCCCTGTGAGGAGAGAATTAGGAGGCTCAGTGGGGGGCTGGTGGGCTCAACCCCAGCAGTCAAGATGTTGGAGAACTTCCAGAGCAGAAGGAAGGGATGCTCCAGGGAAAGCAGACACAGTGATCATTCTGGAAAAGAGAATGCTATCCAATACTGTCTCCTCCCAGGACAGGGCCAAATGGGCGAGGCACTCATGGGAGCATCGCAGCTCCCACACCCGATCCTGTGTCGGTACGTAGGGTGCTGTGGGAAGCAGGGATGGCAAACCTGGTGTCACTTCTGGTCCTTTTGTAGAAGAGATGAGACAGTATTGGAAACTATTTTGGTAATAGGCAAGATGAGAGGAGATGATTTTTCACATTTTAAAATTGAGAAACAGGGCAATATTGAGGCTAAAACCAGGTGTGGGGGTGCATGCCTGTAATCCCAGCATTCAGAAGACAGGCAAGTGGATCGTTGCGAGTTCGAGGCCAGCCTGGGTTACAAAGTGAGTTCAAGGCCAGCCTGAACTGCATAGTGAGACCCTTTCTCAAAAAACCAATAGATATATATATATATTTTTGAAGCCAAGGACCAATTTGCAGTACAACTCCATCCACATGAGTTGTTGAGAGGCTAAACAATAGTTCACCTGTATATAAACTGTACATAACTAATCGCTAATGCCATTACGTATATTTATTGTAAATAAAGAAAATCTCAGTCAGGGAGAGAAATTCTGCTCAATTCCCTTCTCTGCCCAAAGTCCAAGCCCACCAAACAATTATCTCTGCTAGTTTTTTTTAGCTTCCAGTCACTGAACTCACAGGAAGAAAGACAGAAGCCTGCCAGCCCACCTGGAGAGGCTTCCTCACTTGCCATTGTCTTCTATTCTGGTCCCAAGGGGAATCATTTACCAACCTTCACCTGTTCTATGAGCCACACAGACTTTGTCCCAGGCCATTGTGTTCTCCAGGCCCTAACATGCCATTGATTAGCTCCCTGAAATTCCTTATTCCCCAAACCCCTGTAGAAAAAGGATATGTAAATTTCTGGATTATGTTGAGATAGTAGGTGAACACACTCCTGTGATTTTCCCTCTTCTATAATAAATTTGTACATCTTTCTCCTAAAAATTAAAAAAAAACCAGGTTGCTCAACTTTATCCTCATGGGCACCGTATATTTAATCTCCCTAAGATATTTTCAGGATTGAGAGTACAATTGTACCTAGTACTGCAAAAAATAAACTTAAAAGTTAGGAGTTTTTATTCTTTTAGAGATAAGCAACCTCAAGCTTCCTCCTGCTGAGCACTTGGCCAACATCTCCTCCTTTCCCTGTCCTCAGGCCAAAAGAAATAACAGAAGGGGCTGGGGATTTAGCTCAGTGGTTCCAACGCCTGCCTTTCAAGCGCCAAGGACCTGAGATGGATCCCTGGTACCAAAAAAACAAAAACAAAAACAAAAGAAATAACAGAATATGCAGATGCCAGCCCCAGGAGGCCAGGAGCCTGGTTTCTTTCCCACAAGAAAGAAGAGGATAAACTGGGGCATGGTGGTGCATCTCTGTAATCCCAGCACTCAGGAGGCTGAGGCAGAGGGATCCTAGTGAGTTCGAGGCCAGCCTGGGCTACGTAGTGAGACCCTGTCTGAAAGAAAGAAAGAAAGAAAGAAAAAAAGAAAGAAAGAAAGAAAGAAAGAAAGAAAGAAAGAAAGAAAGAAAGAAAGAGAGGAGGATGAGCTGAAAATGATAAAGCAAGTGTGGAGTTCTGCACTGTGGTCCCTCTGTGCCTTTCACCTCTGTTCCTTATTATAAAAGACTCTTGCCCACCCTTACAGCAGGAGATGGTAATTTGAGGCAAATAGGCCCCTCCAACTCCTTGGAGCTAGCTTTAATAAATCCTTTTCCTTCTTACTAGAATATATGGTCTCCTTTGGTTTGGTCAACAGGGAGCAGACAAACCTAAGCACATGAGTCTAGGTAGCCAGTAACATAATTTTATTCGTTATTTAAGAGCTCTGTAGTATGCTTATGATATAGGAATCATGAGTAAAGTGTTTTGGAGAAATTTTTTTCACACTTCTATTTCCATGTGTAGTTTATTCCATGTGAAATTCTCTTTCTCTCCTTTGTTTTACTTCCATTTGATGGCTAGAAGAAAATCAACTTCCTACCGTAGCACCCACATCTTCAGGAGCCTGAGATCACAAAGGGGCAGCCAGTTCTGTTTTTAATTTTCCTATTGGCCATTTCACTTATGACCATTTTTTCTAAACACAATCGCTACAAATTTATCTACGAATTTATCCTAAATGGGGGAGAGGGGATAGAAAGAGAGGCCAGCTTCTATCTGCAGTATGACTTCATAAGTATCGTTCCTGGCTCTGCCAAGAACTACTAACCCCATGAATTTCAGCCTGGAACTTGACCTTTTGGAAGAACATGTGCATTTAGAATGAATGCCATCTTTTATGGATTTATGAGGTTACACGAAATACAAAGAAAGCTGCACAAACATTTCTCCTCCGGTTAATTGCTTTCCAAGGGTTGTATACAAGGCGGCCCACTCAGCCTGAGCACTTTTCTTTGGGTTCAGCAAAGTAAACCTGATTCGGGAAGGCGGAGTGTTGCCCCTCTGGAATGTTAATCCGTCCTGTCTTCCTGCCAGACTTTGCTAACCCTGCCAACCCGACCCAACCTGCACAGCAATAGGGGGAATTTCCTCTCCTTATCAACACCGAGAGTGCCCTCTTCTTCCAGCGCAAACAGAATACTGAACGGTAAACACTTGCATCAGCCAGGATTAAAACTTTGGACCACAACAAATGGAAGTAAAAAGACACTTTGCTTGCCAGCAGGGACCATAAACCGCCAGCCTGTTTCTACTTCCCCTCACTATAGCCTTGCTGCTTCCAAACTCTTTGTTGGTGGTGTTGCTTTCTGGCTCACAAAATGGCTTTTGGGAAAAGTGTGTATTGCGCCAGGCAGGTTGGTGCACACCTGCAATCCCAGCACTCTGGGAGGCTGAGGCAGGAGGACTGCAAGTTTGAGCCCAGTTTAGGCAACTTAGAAATTTAGCAAGACCCTGTCATAAAATAAAAAATTTTAAAGGGCTGGGGAAGGACTTGTGTTCCATCCTCAATATTGAAAAAAAAAAAAAAAGATACTACCAACAGAGTAAAAAGACAACCCATAGGAAAAAGCATTTGTAAATCATATATCCAAAAAGGATTAATATTTAGAATTTAAAGAGAAGTCTTTAAAGTCAACAGTCAACAGTAATTAAAACAAAACAAAAAACCTAGTTTAAAAACTGAGAAAGAAGGGCCAGGGTTTTAGCTCAGTGGTGCTTCACCTGCCTTGCAAGCGTAAGCTCCTGAGTTTGATCCCTGGTCCGGGAAAAAAAAAAAAAAAGATTTGGGCTTGTCAGT